GGGGGGGGTGCGGAATGGGAGTGAAGGGCACTGTCAGGGCAGCTGAAGGGGCTGCCGGTCGGGAGTGAGGGGCAGGAGCAGGGCAGGTGGCTCCGGAGTGAGGGGCCCGGGCAGGGCGGAGGGGGGCGTGGGGGGCACCGGCAGGGCGGGGGGTGGATCCGGATCCAAGACCTGCCTCACCCGCTCAACTAGATTCTTCTCAAACGTCCCGTTCCCGCCGATGACTTGAGTGGCAGCGCCAGCGAGCGGCACCGCGCAAGCGCGAAGCGCATCACGTTCGTCGGGCCGATTAGGCGCATGCGTCCTTTTGCTCTGGTGGGCGGGGCCGTTCCTCTCCGAGGACGTTGGACATGCTGCGCATGCGTGGTGCGACGGCGGCGCTCTGGGTAGTGATGCAGTGCGCGTGCGGAGTGAGCGCTGTTACCGCTCGTCCGGTCGGTTTGGGGCGGGACTTCCTGTGCCGATCCGGAAGAGCCGGGGGAGGGGGAGGGGGCGGTGCCTGCCGGAACAACAGAACGCCAGCGGGGATGCCGTACTGGGGCGCGGACGATGCCGTGGCGGAGCTGCGCCGAGCCCTGTCCAACCGCCACGTGCAGGCCGACCGGCTGCGCTACCGCAACGTGCTGCTGCGCGTGATCCGGTACGGCCCGTGCACGCGCTGCCCCGCGGCTGGCTGGGGCGGGCCCGAGCGGAGCCGGGGCGGGGCGAGCGGGGCTGGCGGCGGCGGCCCGGGAGGGAGGGAGAGAGAGCCCCTGCCCCTGCCCCTGCCCCTGCCCCTGCCCCTAGCCCTTAGCTCGGCTTTGCTCTCTCTGCTGCTCGTGCGGCGGTTTCAGGCGCATGACCCAAGGCGTGGATGTGTCCGGGGTTTTCATGGAGATGGTGAAGGCCAGTGCCACGGGGGACATCGTGCAGAAGAAGCTGGTCTACTTGTACATGTGCACGTACGCCTCTCTGCAGCCCGACCTAGCGCTGCTGGCTATCAACACCCTCTGCAAAGACTGCTCCGACCCCAACCCCATGGTCAGAGGCCTCGCCCTCCGCAGCATGTGCAGCCTCAGGTATGGATGCGACTTGGCTGGGAGATGGATGCATGACCCTTCCTACGGTCTTAGCAGTGGGGACCTAAGTGCAGTGTTGTGGCCTAGCTCTTGGGAACGTTGCTCTTTCCTAGGTGAATGCAGTCTGTTGGCAGTCATCATTTTAGTGATCTCCACCTGCCTGAGAAAGCGGCTGGGGGTGTGGGAGATTATGATTATAGACTGTTTAGGCCATTGGTGGCCAACCTGAGCCTGAGAAGGAGCCAGAATTTACCAATGTACATTGCCAAAGAGCCACAGTAATAAGTCAGTAGCCCCCCCCCCCATCAGCTTCCTAACACCTACTGCCTGCTGGCAGCCCCCAACAATCAGCACCTACTCCCCCTCCCTCTGCAGTCAGCTGTTTCACTTGTGCAGGAGGCTATGGCGGGAAGGGTAAAGGAGCAAGAGCATGGCGGGGACCTTGGAGGAAGGGGTGGAGTGGGGGAGGGCTTGGGGCAGAGCAGGGGGTTGAGCAGTGAGCATCCCTCCAGCACATTGGAAAGTTAGCTTCTATAGCTCTAGCCTCGGAATCAGTGCCTAGGTAAAGAGCCACATGTTAACCTCTGAAGAGCCACATGTGGCTCCGGAGCCACAGGTTGGCCACCCCTGGCTTAGGTGCTCAGGCAATGAGGACACTCAAGTAGGAGAAGGGAGGTTATAGTCTCTCTGTTTGGCCTGGTGCAGCTGCTACTGGAATGCTGTGTCTGCTTTTGCCTTCGGCAATTCAAGAAGGATGCTGATAAATAAATAGTGAAGGTTCAGGGAAGAGCCACAGAAATGACTAAAGGTTTTCAAAACTTGTCTAAGAGCAGTGGTTCTCTACCTGCAGCCTATGGGCTGCTTACAGCCCAATCAGCACTTGAGCTGTAGCCCATGTGACATCCTCGGAGCCATACAGGTAGCATTGGATGCAGCCCACAATGGTAAATAGGTTGAGAACCACTGCCTTAGGTTTTGTCTACACTGGACCATGAACGACAAAACTTTTGTCATTCAGGAGCGTTGAAAACCAACAACCCTGAAGGACAAAAGTTTTGCTGACGAAAAGCGTCGCTTGCAGGAGAGCTCTTCTACCAACAAAACTACTGCTGTTTGTGGGCGGTGCAAGTTTTTTGTTGGCAGGAAAGCTCTCTCTTGCTGACAAAGAGCGGCTACGCTGCACGCCTTTTAGCAGTACGGCTGTGTCACTAAAAGGTGCGTAGTGTAGACATAGCCTTAGAGTGTTACATTGAGGTCCTTGAATTTATTTAGTTTAAAGAAATGGGATCACAAACTATAAATACCTACCCTGGAAACCAATATTTAGTAATGGGCTCTTCAGTTTAGCACACAAAGATATAAGAAGATCCAGTGTTTGGAAGATGAATCTTGACCAATTCAACTAGAAATAAGGTGGAAATTCTTAACATTGAGGGCAATTAACAATTGGGACAATTTACCAAAAGTTATGATGGAATCTCCACTGGCAATTTTTAAATCAAGATCGGATGTTTTTCTAGATATTCTCTGGGCCAAATAGAAATTAATTCAGGGTCATTCTATGGCCTGTTTTATGCAGTGGGTCAGACTAGATGATCACAGTGATCCCTTCTGGCTTTCTAATGTATTCATCTGAATAGCAGTGCCTGGATATTCTGGATGGGGACTCAGGACTTCAGAAATGACACACATGCCTTGAGTGTTTTCTTTATGCTGCTTAATTCTTTTAAAAGACGCAAAAGAGATGTGCACAGAATGGAAAACGGTTACCTGCGTGTAGGGGGATTATTGAAAGAGAACAGCAAGGAAAGCCCTTGGTTTGTAAAAGTGGTTGCTGTAGATGGGGGAGCACCCTAGGATATCTTGAGGGATTTTGAATGAATCCAGAATGATACATACTTATTCATAGGATGCCTGGCATACAGGAGTACATCCAGCAGCCCGTTCTGAATGGTCTGCGAGACAAGGCGTCCTATGTGAGGAGAGTAGCTGTTCTTGGCTGTGCAAAGATGCAGAAACTCCAAGGTGACACCGAAGTGGGTAAGTAGTCAGATTTTGCCTTGGAGGAAGCGGGGCATGGTCATACTTTGTCCTAGAGCTTTCATTGGGGAGAGGAAGATTATGCTTCTCTACTAGACAAGATACATACAACTCATGTAGATGCGGCTCTTTAGAGTCAAGGCTCCCTGTTTGGCCTGGATTCACTGGGCTGTGCGTTGGTTTTGGATCCCACAGGAGTGGAGGCGGGGAAGGGGGGCAGCCTGTGAACATAAGGCAGATCCCTAATGGAATCTGCTTCTTGGGCATTTTCAGGTCTGGCAGGGTGAGTTTCCACAGAGGAATACTCCTTTCATATCTGCTGCTTCACGGGGCTGGGACTCTTCCTTTCCTGCTTCATTTTCTGTGCTACATGTGAGCCTCTTCCTCTAACACCTGACTGCCACACGTGCAGTGATCTTGTGTAGAGAGGGCTCTTTAGAGAATACCTATGCCATACGCTAATGTTACTGGAAAGTCAAGGGTATTTGTAGTTTGCTGGTAACAATTCTTCCTCCCAGGTACTGTGTCATGGTCCCCATATTCCTGAGGCTGCTCATGGACAGTGACTGTCTTGCCTGAATGGATGCCGTGCCTCTGAGTCTCTGATGATCTAAGTGCCTTTGTGTCTCTGCAGATGGCGTGCTGGTGAATGAGCTATACAGTTTGCTTCGTGACCAGGATCCCATTGTAGTGGTGAATTGTCTGAGGGCTCTAGAAGAGATTCTGAGGCGGGAAGGAGGAGTTGTCATCAACAAGCCCATAGCCCATCACCTTCTTAAAAGGTCTGTTCTCTGTGTGAGAAGCTGGAAGCTTCACTCTAGTGAGATCCCCCTGTGTTCTGTATGTCAGCAGAGCAGATGTGTCAGCTCCTGGCAGAGCTGAGAGGAGGCTTTGGAAACAAATTCCATTGCTGTCAGTCGTTCCCTCCCACCCCCCAAAAAGATAGGAGAGTGCCAGATTAACCTCACTGTCACGTGAAATCTGAGGCCTTCCCAGTGATACACAGAACCAACCTCAGTTTCCAGGAGAAGTTTGTGACCAACTATCGGTTTATTTAAAATTACAAGTTGTATCATGGCTTATCTAAAGGTTCTTTCTTCCCTGACAACAGCTGGGGCACATCAGTGTAGGACCAGCTGTTCTAGCCTGTCTGTCCCACTACCTCCCAATATGTGTAATGTGGCAGGGATGGTGTCCAGTGTCTGAAGGAATCAGCTTCTCTTCAGACAGGTCTGGGTTGGTTCGGTCAAGGGAGTGGCATCCTTTCTCTTGCTCTAGCCATGCACCTTCTCAGTGTTTCTCTCTGGTTTAGTGCTTGAGGGCAGGTGTGAGTGACTGAGACAGAGTTCAGCTTCAGCGTGCATGTGAACTGACTGGTTCCCTTGAGAGAGAGAACGCTGGTATCCGCATGTACAAACCTGGCAATTGGTGGGTATGCTGAAACCATACGAAGTGCAACAGCTGCAGGCTCTGCCCTAGAATGATCCCTGTGTAGTGCTGCATCTTTTGTGACCTGTTTACCGTGCTGCTTTCTTGGCAGAATGTCTGACTTAGACCAGTGGGGACAGAGTGAGGTGCTGGCCTTCCTGCTGCGCTACAAACCCCGCAGTGAGGAAGAACTCTTCGACATCCTCAGCTTACTAGATGGGTCCCTCAAGAGCACCAGCCCCAGTGTTGTGATGGCAGCCACCAAACTGTTTCTGGTGTTGGCCAAGGACTTCCCACAGGTACAGACAGATGTACTAGTTAGAGTGAAGGGGCCACTGCTGGCGGCCTGCACCTCCGAGAGCCGGGAGCTCTGCTTCGCTGCCCTGTGTCATGTGCGCCAGATCCTGGGAAGCCTGCCTGGCCACTTTAGCAGCCATTACAAGAAGTTTTTCTGTTCCTACTCGGAGCCCCATTACATTAAATGTCAGAAGATGGAAGTGCTGTGTGAGCTGGTGAATGATGAGAACGTGCAGCAGGTGCTGGAGGAGCTGAAGAGTTACTGCACTGATGTGTCAGTCGAGCTTGCCCAGGGGGCCATCTTCGCCATAGGTAAGAGCTCTGCTTTTGCTTCAGAAACAGCCGGGGGTTGTCTCTGAAATCTCTCAAATAGGCCTTTCTCCACCAAAACAAGCCTAGGCCAGCGACAAAAGAGCACTGTCAGAGCCGTCCTGGTGCCGCACCCCAGGCTGAGCCAGATCCCCAGAAATATGAAGGCGTTCCTGAGCCTGTCCTG